CCTGGCTTGAATTTGAACCATCATGTAGAATAAACAGAGGTCAGGATTTGCAGAGAGGGAAGGAGAGAGAGATTCATTTGGATTTGTCTGTATTAATATATATATATATATATATATAGATATATAGATATATAGATATATATATCTATATATATATATATATATATATATATATATATATCTATATATATATATATATATATATATATATATATATAGATATAGATATATATAGATATAGATATATATAGATATATATAGATATATATAGATATATATAGATATATAGATATATATAGATATATATAGATATAGATATATATAGATATATATATAGATAGACAAGTCTTTCAATGCTCCAATCAGGCCCTTTTGCTGATAATACCGGTTTGTGCTTTGGATATATGTACTGTTGTTACTCTCCTTATAAAACTTTTGTATTATTTCCATACTGTTGTGCTTCTATATATTTATGGCTAATGTCATTTGCTGGTTGCAGTAGTTCTTCTGCTTCCAATTACTTTATTCGGATTACTGATTAATTTCCCAGGAAGGGAATCCCCCATATTCACAGAGGCCCTGTCCTGGGTGGGGGCACTGCCATCTTTATTATCAAACCCACTCTTCCACTTAGCGAAGGTTCTGGTTCTCTCGCTCAACTACAGATTTAGTGCACTATTCTGTTTGTGAAGGGACATTGCTAATATCCCCCTCCCCCTCAAAAGAGGGCTATAGTATCATGTTTGTGAGACAATTCTCTCAATGATGTAGCGTGCGTGGGTTGTCAGCACCCGGGGCAAAGAGAGTCATTTTCGTCCCCTAACCCATGGACTTTTAGCACTCCCTGAATTAAGTATAATTAAATATAATTATTTTGGCTAATAAATACACTGCTCATTACACATACAATGATGCTAAAATTTACACCAGCAATTGTACTTAAAATAAGTCACTTAAAATGATCTTATTAGTGTATGTGGACTCATAAATAAAGGTATGTGCAATAAATACCATGTCAGAGAAACCTATTTAAATTAGGATTTTTTGTTTATAATGTATATTTTATTATGTATTGATTTTAGGTTTATATATAGGAATTACCAGATACTGAAAACTCCACTGTATGTTTTATATACATTGTACATACCTTCGTAGTTCTGTGTGGCCGAAGACCTGATCAGCTTGGGGAGACACAGAGGGGTAGCGATACATTGGGGAATGTCGTCCGAGATATCCCTGTAGCAGCCTGCATGGCCATTGCCCCTAGTAACTGGCAGCCCCCGCGCCAGAGAACTGTTATGTGCTGTCAACTGATCACAGAAAATACACGAGAAAGTCGAATTATGCTGTACTGCTGTGACTGTGCTATGTGAATGCCATTGTCCATGCTATCGCCTGAAGTAACTATGTCAGGCCTGTAGAAATGTTTTCCTGTTGCTCAACAGGTGGTTGGAGTTGGACTGTGCTAATAGTCTCCCTCCCTGTGTCAGTGAGACCAGTATTGTATGCCGTCACCGGTAGCAACCATGGCAGGCTGTCACATTCATATCCTGCTGCTCAGCAGGCAGTCAGAGCTAAGGACTGTGCTGATTTTCAACTAGCTTGTGGTGTTGTCCTACATGCTGTCGCCCGTAGTAACCGAAGTGGGCCAGCGACTCTATGTGGATTACAAATACCCAGTCGCCCAACAGTGGCTGAGGTTCATGTTCATCTTGGATCAAGCCCTGCTAAAGACATTGTGAACTGTGTGATCTTGCTTGCCGTTGCCTGCAACAACCATTCTGGTCTGTTGCTCTGTGGATTACAAATGCCCAGCTGCCCAACAGTGGCTGGGGCCAAGTATCCTGTTAAGACAAGTTCTGCAAATATCAGTGGACTGTTCTTGTGTTTTTGTCCAGAAAAAACATCCTGGATACTGGATACCGGTGTGTGGTTGGAACACCGGAGGGGATTCGCTGTTGGTACAATCAATGGAGTGGAAAGACTGTACTTGCTGTGTTGTGACTGTCAGAAGCCCACTGCAGCGATCAGAGCCTGGCTAAGGTCAGGGCGCTGTGACAAGCAGCTTGTGAGGTTGGTGCCCAGCAATCTGCCACCAGTCATCTACTCTGTGGTCCTGAAGTCAGGACTGTGCATAAAGAGGAAAAAGGAATCCCGTTGGTCGGAAGAAGTCAAGAGGTGTTCAGGTAACCGCCACTACTCTTGTGGAAGAGGACTGGATGATAGCCGCAGCCCAGAACCTGGGGAAAGATCCGCGACCAGCTCAAGTTGAAACACAGTGGTCCTCACGAAGGTAGCACTACAAGTGTGCACAAGTATAGGCATGGATAATGACCACAAACAGCCTGTTGAGACCATAATGTTCATAAACTGCTAAGAACCAAAAAAAGTACAGGAAGTTGTGCTGCCGATTACCCAAGTGGTGACTGGTGCATAGTGTCCGGACAGCGGTGCTCCGTACAGGGTCAGACTCTTCTCCTAGACTATAGACTGGGTATCTCAGTCCACACTGGCCCCTCAGGGTACCCTCATGTGGTCTCTTTGTGCCCAGTGGGGGAGCAGGAGACGCCAGGATCAAGCGGTGACACATAAGGAGATCTATCATCCAGGGAAGCCACACGACAGCCTCCCCGTAGTTTTAGGGACGGCAGAGAAGGAGAACCAGCATGAACTGTGACCTTTTGTCCATACAGTGGTGATTGCTACTATCCTAGTCACATGACCACCCAGTAAAGTCTATAAAAGCCCCGTGTGCATGAAGCTTTATAGAACAAGTCGAAGTTGAATGTGACTAATTACTACTGTTCTATGTCATAACCTGGATAAATTAAAACGTTCACATATTTTCTGCAACAGGAACATAGAACGCAATACAGACCAGACAAATGTTCTTACCTCGCGCTACCCATAACCCAAAACATAATTTGGCTGGAGTTACACTTTAGGTCAAATTATTTTTCGGCCCCCTCCACACATTTTATTTTTCTAAACATTTATTCATCATTGCATTAAAAATTGTTATGAGTGCTGCTGGGATGATGCTAGAGAGCCTCTGGTTCTGCTTCACTGGGCTGTTTAAGATTACAATTTTCCTTATCAGTCTGAAAAAAAATTTGATGTGTTGGGAAAATTGCGTGGGCAAATTGCTGCTGGTCCTGAATTAATACAGCTGATATGGAAGATGTGCTATCTTCTAGATAGGACGATGGTCTGATTTGACTTCCTGCCATGCCGAACGTGTAACCTAATTCTACTTGTCTTATTTCCTCTCTAGTCTACTTGTAGTATGCAGTAGATTGACATTTCCCACTTAATCCAATCTCTCCATTCCAGAATACCGATGACATGTCAGACGTTCAGATAATCTCGGCAGACAGGTGTAGGATAGTCATTGACAGAGGATCATTAAGGATCTCTGCCTTTTGGCCTAAAAGTACACCATGCATATGAAAAATATTGAAGTTTACTGTACCTTGACAACAATTGTTAAATAAGAACATGCCTGGTGAAATTGCTGATTGCAGGTGAAGTCTAATTTGTCAAATATGAATACATAAACAACACTTCAACCTATTTGGCGAGATACATAAACTGAAACACAATATAGTGATCATAAAATCTGGTTATTGAAAGGGGTATGAAATTAAAACAATGTTTAGGAAGTCCAAAATAATGGGGTTAATTTACTAATACAGGAGAATGCAAAATCTGGTGCTGCATAGAAACCAGTCGGCTTCCAGGTTTTTTTTTGTCAAAGTTTATTTGAACAAGCTGAAGCTAGAAGCTAATTGGCTACCACGCACAGCTGCACCAGATTTTGCACTTTCCAGTTTTAGTAAATCAACCCAAATGCGTCTTCATGCAGTGTTCTAGGGAGATGCTCGGTTCATTTCTCATTTCAGAGGTTTACAACCACTTTTACCGCTTCCCGCCCGCCCAGCCACTATCTATCTATCTCTATCTATCTAATGATCATGTAGAGCAAAAGTCAATCCAAAATGACATACTAGTACTGTAAAATTTTCAAAATACTGAAAATACCTTTCAGAAAATTCTTTGGGGTGTGTCCATGAGACACACAGAACGGGTCTCGGCCCTGCCCCTGCTCCCTTCTCACTAGCTGTGATTGACAGCAGCAGGAGTCAATGGCTCCCACTACTGTCTGAGTCAATAAGGAGGCAGAGAGCCAGGACAGCAGCCACTTTTGTGCACATCCGTGGATTGGGATCAGGCTTGCGTAAGTATTAGGGGGGGGTCTGCAGCAGGGAGCTGCATACTGAAGGTTTTTTACCTTCATACGTAGAATTCATGATTGTAAAAACCTTCAGGCTTTACAACTATTTCAATGCATGTCTGTAGAAGGAGCAGAAAAAAAAGGTGAGGATAGGTGGAGTTCTGTAGTTCCAGCAGAGAAGACCGGCAAGGCTGACAACTCTAGTAGGGATTTCAGTGCAGCACATTGTACCGGAGATTAGAAACCCACTCGATTTCTTACCTATTAGCTGGTATTTTTCTATATTTGCAGCATTTGTGGAAGTATAAAACTAACAGAAATGTGCATGTTTGCAACGATGTACTGCCTATGTTTGATTTTTCTTAAATATACATACTGTCCTTGAATTTTATAAGGATGCCAGCCTGCTATCAAGTGGGCTGACTGGCTGTTCATGCTTAGATCCCATCTAGTATTTAATTACTTACAAGTGATACTTATGTTTTGTTTTTTTATTTCATGTCCTATAGCGCTGACTAGTTCTGCAGTGATAGAACCTCTGAGAGAACTACCGTATTATGCTTTTTATATTAAGAGTGTATGTGAAAAGTTCCCCTTTTACACATCCGTCCCAGAAATGTTAGATTTTTACTTCTTTTTCTGTGGAATAAACTCCTAACAACCTGTTGGTGCTGTTGTCTATCTACATTCTCATTGCTTGTGAAAAGCGTTGTCATTTCCTGCAGTTTGTAAATGGCAAATTACGTGATGTTATCTTTTCTTGACAGGTTACGAGAAGACCGATGATGTGTCAGAAAAGACTTCCCTGGCTGATCAGGAAGAAATGAGGACGATTTTCATTAACCAGCCTCAGTTTTTAAAGTACTGCAACAACCATGTCAGGTAAGGATTTTTTTTTTGGGGGGGGGGGGATGCCACTAAAAGTACCAGGAAGGCCAGCACTTTATATGGGAAATATATTCGCTACATGCCTTGTTTGGGTATGGTTAGTGTACTTTTATCTACTCCTGCTACCATACCCTATTTCAGTTGGCTATAGCAAAAACATTCAATGCAGATTTAAAAATCAGAGGTCTTACCCTCCAGAGGCTTTAAGAGCTTTGTGTGAGGATATGAGTATGCAAGAATCTTCCCTTCTCCCCAGCTAGTATACATACCATTGGATCCCTAGTGAACAGTTTATGAAACTTCTTATACCTTCTGTTACTGAAAAAATGTTAATGGGATTTTTAGGGTGCTCATAAGTTTGACACCAACAAAATATGTGATAAAATCTTAAAGGAGAAGTTCACCTTTTGTTACGTTACACCCGTATACAGGGTGTAACGTGTTATTGTTGCAGCAGGCCTCTACAAGATGCCCCCTAGGGTCCCCTATTGTGATAGCAAGCCAGGGATCCTCTCCCTGCACACGTGGTCACAATTCTGAAAAAAAATAAAGTGCACATGCTGTGCTCTGCCCACCGGGCTGCGTCATTCATTCACAGAGTTCTGTGAATTGTTGAACTACTTTGCTGCTGTTGGCTTAGTTCTCAGTGAACTACCAGGGCTTTGATGAGAGGTCTAGGTACTTCATTGATGCTTCCTGTCATTCCGTAACTGCCTGCCCATACAAGCAGACAGATACACTGACAGTCTGCAGGAGCCTTGCATTGCACCTGTGATCTGCTGATTGTGGGTGCAATGATCAGCAGATAATTAATGCACATTATTTTACTTACAAAAAGATGTGCATGTTTTTTTTTTTTTTTTTCACAAAGGTGAAAATTTTATTTTAATTTTTTTATTCATATTAAGAATAAATCTCCTAATCTTTAAAACACACCATTCTAGAGCTTGTACAATGCTGTTGATGTATTGTGTTATCCATAGGACAAGTTCTAACACATATAATTATGGCTTCACAGTGTGCCCTATTTTCCATCATTCCTAAAATATAACTAAAGGCAAAACTTTTTTTTTTAGTTTTGGCTGAGTGGAAAGGGATTAGCACACCTGTCAATTTTTATTGCTGTCTATGCCTCCGTAAAGTAGATTCACCCTCCCTATTTGTTTTGTGTATCATTACTGAAAGTGAAAGTAAAATAAAATCCCAAATGTTGGGATGTCCCCAGAAAAGTAATAGTGGGGAAATCTTCCAGTGGGGGACACTAGTTCTGATGACCTGGGGGTCTCCAAAGAATTTCCTTAATTTGCAGGGATTTCTTCTCACTTCTTGTTTTGGCTATGGGACAGGAAGTGAAGGGAAATCTCTGCAATGGGACACAGATGGTGAAAAAAATGATTGGGGTTATAATCCTCCCTTGCTCTATCTAAATTGAAAAAAACAAAGTTTTGCATAAAGTTCTACTTTAAGTATCTCTACATTAGATTATTATGCTGATCAAATGGAATGGGATAAAAGTTTTGTGTGTGTGTGCGTGTGTGTGTGGGGGGGGGGGGGGGGGGGGGGGGGGTTTCAGGGAGATACACAATGTGTTCTCTGGGCTAATGAACCCACTTGATCTACCATTCATATACTGCACAAGCAAAACTGACTATAATTTTCATAATTACATCAAATAAGTTGCCATATGCCATATTTGCCAAAATTTGTTTACTGATGGGCTGAATGATCATCGCAAGTATTGGGGAACTTCCACTTCTCCAAACCTCTAACTGGAAGGAGATCCAACCAGGTCACAAAAAAGTGATGGGAAAAGGGGGAAAATGTTTATATACACGTATACCCGGCCCGACCTGGACATAGGGCTCACTGGGCTGGGGCCACATGTTCTAACAAGAGCACAGCACAATCCCCAGTGACAGCCTCCAGTCCTCAGACAGTGTTCCCAGCCTGGCTGCAGATCACAGTAGTGGCACGGCACTCCAAGCCTATAGTAACCAATCCGCACTCAGCACTCTCCATGCTCAGCAGCTCCCCGAAGTCCATTCTCCAGTGTTACTTTCAGGGGCTTGGCAGGGGGAAGAGGAGGCGGCCCTGACTTCACCCGTCTACGCCAATCTAATTCCTAGGAACACCGGCATCATGCCACCTACTGGAAGCTGGCCAAGAACTACAGGCCAAGGCTGGCTCAGGATCTGGAATGTGCCAAGATCAATGGAGAAGATTATCCCAGTGTACAGAACTCAGTAATTTAGACCTGACCTTGGCTAGGAGCGTGTGATAGGGAGCACAGCCCGGGGGTGTACTGGAAGGAGTGAGCTGTGCTCCGAGCAGACCATCACAAGCTGGGATCCTACTTTTTATAGATCATTCCCTTGGATCGGAAACAGGCGCTTTGTACAAATTTTTTCAAGAGGTTGGGTTGGATCGTGGCTCTTGTGGAGATTAATGGTGGAGATTAATGCAGTAGAAGAGGCAGTGCAGGCTGAGGATGAGTTGTCATAGGAGACACAAGAGGATAGATGGTATTTTTTCAGTCTGTTTTGCTGAGTATGACCTTACTGTACACGTCTTATGGGCTGGGGAGGGTGCTTTCATCACCCTGCACTTCTCCCTGGGAAGTCTTATCATAGTCAGTAGGTCTACAACATGCTCATTTACTGCTTGTCTATACACGGGAGCTTCCTGACTAATCATTGAAAAGGGATGATCTACAGCAGCCTTCCTCTACCAGGGTACCTCCTGAGATGGCTAGGGGGTTCCCTGAGCGATTAGTATTAGGAAATTGATCTTCTACCTACAGTGATCACTAGAGATCAGCTGAGACATCCTCCAAACTCATCTCTATCCAAACAGTAAAAAAATCACAGTGCGTCACCTCTCATGGCACTCAGTAGAGGATGCTGGCATTCAGGGAGGGCTAAATATAACTAAAAGACACAGAGAAACTGGTAGTTGTCTTTATTTGTAATTAAAAAAAAAAAAAGAAAAGGTCTTCTCAGTCTAAAATGCCTGGGTCTATTTTTGTCCCAGTCCAGGCCTGATGTATATACACCAATACATGTAAAAGTTGTTGGAATAGCAACTTAAATAGCTTAAATGGGTAGGAAAGCTGACAGATGTATAATAAAAATGTATAATATAGAAGAAAACAGTGTTCTACGTGGTAACTGTCACTTGTAGCATTGTTCTTAGGCCATAAGTCCAACATTTATCCAGTTATAGTATTGCTAATTTACCAACCCACGTTGTGTTGTCGTGTTTACTGGCTTACATTTAAGTTCAAAATTAAATCTAAAGATACTTGAAGATCTTTACGCACAGTCCGTTTTAAAGGATAAGTTTGTAAAATAAATAAATACTGTAAATGCACCTTTTTTTGCTGGTAAATGCAAAAAAACATTGCACCCACAATCAGCAGATCATGGGTGCCATGCAGGACTTCTACAGACTGTCAGTGTAAGCTGCCTGCTTGTACGGGCTGGCAGTTACACAATGACAGGAAGAAACAACCACTCAACAGCGCCCTAGAAGTTCTCTGAGAAGTACAACTGACAGCCGCAAAGACTGTTGGTACTTGTAGTTCTCCCATTCACAGAACTCTGTGAATGAATTCATTTTTTAAAACTGTGACTGCGAGATACCTGGCTCGTTGTCACAAGAGGCGGCGGGTCAGGGAGTGGCTACAGCAGTGGGAATGTCCAACATGTTCCCAAAGGTGAACTTGTCCTTTAAGTCACTTGTAAGTTCAGCTGAGCTATTCTACCAAGTAAATAGAGAGCATTTTGCAGAGGTGGTGGTCAGTCGGTAGCTGCATGACTGAGCCTCCTCTGTTTTTTGAAACGTTTCAGTACTTCGTTTTAGCATAAAGCCAGAAAAAAACTCAACCAGGCTGGTAGCTCACATTTTTTGCTTCTTCTTGACAATCATTAGTTTTGAGTAAAGAGATCTTTTTTGGGGGGGAATTTTAAATGCCACTTTTAGAATGAATGCTGCCTTGTTACAGGGTAAACAGTATCTGTGGAAGCAGGTTGTGGGAAGTCAGAAGCATTTATTGCTGGGGAAAAAATTGTATGGAGACTAAAACCTTATTATTTTGTGATTTTTTTTCAGCACTGCAAAATACAATCCTATCACCTTCCTGCCAAGATTCCTGTACTCTCAGTTCAGAAGAGCAGCCAACTCGTTTTTCTTGTTCATTGCCTTGCTGCAGGTGAGCTTCATACTGCTAAACTGAATCAACTGTACTTTTCTGGCTCTTTAACCCCTTCAGGCCTAAGGGCAAAACAAATATTAATGCCTAAGCACAATCTTGTAACTTTGACATGTGTTAGTAAAACCATACATATCATAACAACTACTTTGTACATCCAGGTGAATTATACTGCGTTTTTTTCAGGATAAGTTGGGCTTGCATTTGGTGGTAAATGGTAATGGATATCTCCTGATTTTTTTTTTTTTTTTTTTTTTTTTTAATTATAAAGGAAAACTGGCCTAAAATAGTAAAAAAAAAAAAAAAAAGTCATAATTTAGATGTTACTACCATAACCTACCACCAAAGAACAACCCAAAATAAATTTTTCAGCTCCTGGCCATCGCAGCCATACCATACAGGTAAAACTCAAAAAATTAGAATATTGTGCAAAAGTTCATTTATTTCAGTAATGCAACTTAAAAGGTGAAACTAATATATGAGATAGACTCATTACATGCAAAGCAAGATAGTTCAAGCTGTGATTTGTCATAATTGTGATGATTATGGCTTACAGCTCATGAAAACCCAAAATCCACAGTCTCAGAAAATTAAAACATTGTGAAAAGGTGCAATATTCTAGGCTCAAAGTGTCCCACTCTAATCAGCTAATTAAGCCATAACACATGCAAAGGGTTCCTGAACCTTTAAATGGTCTCTTGGTCTGGTTCAGTAGGAATCACAATCATGGGAAAGACTGCTGACCTGACAGTTGTGCAGAAAACCATCATTGACACCCTCCATAAGGAGGGAAAGCCTCGAAAGATAATTGCAAAAGAGGTTGGATGTTCCCAAAGTGCTGTATCAAAGCACATTAATAGAAAGTTGTGTGGAAGAAAAAGGTGAACAAGCAGCAGGGATGACCGCAGCCTGGAAAGGATTGTCAGGAAAAGGCCATTCAAAAGTGTTGGGGACTTTTCACAAGGAGTGGACTGAGGCTGGAGTCAGTGCATCAAGAGCCACCACACACAGACGGATCCTGGACATGGGCTTCAAATGTCGTATTCCTCTTGTCAAGCTGCTCCTGAACAACAAACCGCGTCAGAGGCATCTTACCTGGGCTAAAGAAAAACAGACCTGGTCTGTTGCTCAGTGGTCCAAAGTCCTCTTTTCTGATGAGAGTAACTTTTGCATCTCATTTGGAAACCAAGGACCCAGAGTATGGAGGAAGAATGGAGAGGCACACACTGCAAGAAAAAAGAGGGAAAAAAAAAGGGGCGTGGGCTGTACAATGACTGATCACTGTGATAGCCAGTCAGAGGCTATCACAGCATTCATGTGACCCGGAATTGGGAGTTCTGGGTCCCCATCGTTAGAACGGGACCCGCCTCTGTCTTTGTGCTGAGAGCACTCTGTGTGGCGATGGTGTTCTTGGGGTCATAGGCAGCATTCCTCCTCCTTCAAACACAGCGAGTTGAGTTGATGCCAAAGAGTTTGGAATCTGATTGTTTGATTGCTTCTGTGGACAGGTGTCTTTTATAAAGGTAACAAAATGAGATTAGCATCACTCCCTTTAAGAGACTGCTTCTAATCTCAGCTCGTTACCTGTATGAAAGACACCTGGTAGCCAGAAATCCTCCTGAATGATAGGGGATCAAATACTTATTACCCTCATGAACATGCAAATCAGTGTATAATTTTTTACATGCATTTCTTTAGAATTTTTTTTTGCTATGCTGTCTGTGTTACAATACACCTACTATTCGATTTTTAGACTGATCATTTATTTGTGAGTGGGCAAACATTCAAAATCAGCAGGGGTTCAAATACTTATTTCCTTCACTGTATGTGGGGAGTGAAGCTTGTCCTGGATTTTTACTGAGTGTTCTGCCAGACCCATCAGATATTGTAGCATCCTCTAATCTTACAGCTTAGAGCAGCCTCCTTTGCGGTTTGCAGGGTTGCTATTGTAATGTGTTTTGGAGCTCCTCCTCTTTTATTAAAATGTTAGTAAACCCATGGCCCTGCATTCACTATATCTGGTTTGCAATTATTTTAGTAAATATAAACTGCTAAATACCTGTTCTCATCAGCAGTTAGAGCAGTCTTGTGACTTCTCTCCGTATCCAGCAAAGCACTGGCTAAAGCTTGTAGGAGGAATTGTCATTCTCCTCTGACTGCTCTGAGATTGCATAAACCCTGACCCTTTGTCTGGACAGTGCTGACTGGTCATGTGCTCATCACATGCACTCTCCCAAGGAAAAGAAAAAAGTCTCTAGCAATGCACACCACACTAAGCATGTGCAGAGTTTCTCAAAGTGTTCTATCAGGAGATAAAATGGGGAACGTGGAAGAGGGGGAGGATCAGAAAAGATGGCATCAAACATCCTTTTTTACACAATGCAGAGGATTAACCCCTTAAGTTTCACAGTGAGTATAACAAGCATACTTTTACTGCATATACAGACTGATTTTACTCTTGTGGGTTTAGTAACACTTTAAGTCTACTGATTTGACTTGGCTTTGGATGTCATTAGTAGGCAAACTGATGTCTAGCCAAACTGTTCAATGCTGAGTGGCAATTTACAAATAGAGCTTATATATTATATAAAAAAAAAGCAGTTAAAGCTCTTTTAAATGCTCACTATTGACCTCCATAACTACAGGCTACTAATATATGTGGAGAAATGCATCTTTAAAGGTCACTATACAGATGCCAAAATACCAGCTTTTTTTTTTTTTTGACAGTGTACAGTATATCAGCCTCTAATGTAAACACAGCAGGTGTTAGTAAGGTCTCATACTCACTAGCCCATTTGCTCATACATTGAAACCGGGTGTATTTCAGCACACAAGAGACACAGGTGGTGCGTACAGCATCAGTCGCTTGTCAAAATCAATAGGCTGAAATATGCTGCAGCTGTACGCACATCTGCACAGAAGTCATGGACAGGCCTGTTTCTCAGTGAGAGGGAGCGAAGAAAGGGAGTTCCCTATTCTATAGGGGGAAAAAAGTAGAAAAATGTGAATTATAGAAAAATAGGTAAGCAGAAATATATGAATATGCTGCAGCTGTAGTAGATGCTGAAAATTTTACAGCTGGAGGTAGCTAGAGGCAATCTGACAGTAAGGCCTTGTTTACGCTTACCAGGGGGTTGGGTGTTGGTAAAACCCTGTGGCTAAACCATGTTTTTCTGACCCTCAACTGCTCCCCCATTTGCTGCTGAGGCAGTGGCTGGGAGTGTACACATGCCATGGCCGCGATGCTCCTATGTGGCCTCTGCAGGAATTTATACCCTCTGTCACACTTGGGGGAGGTACCCCCCGCTGAGTGTGACCCATTCAAGTGAATGGGGCCATCTGCAGCTGCCCTGCAACCACGCATGGTTATCCGGTATTTAGAGGGTTAAAACAGGCAGTGAGGGGACGATACAATGCCTTCTCACCGCCTGTCTTTTGCGGTCTGAAGAGTGAGTGGATGAAGCTTTGAACCGCAAAGCAAGTGTAAACGAGTCCTAGGTGAGCAGTATAGGTGGACGTGGTAACACTACTTATTTAGTGTAGCCCATTCGTTTTAGGACAACAGCAAATGCTAACCTACCAAAGCAATTTTCCCTCCTAGAGCTTTTGGCTTGCATGATCTGCCTTTTACAGACAGGTGCAGAAGATGATAGACAGGGTGACTCTTGGCATTGCAGATGAGCAGATAACAAATGAGGTTTATCAAGATGGTTTACTGACCTAAATTTCTCTCTTACTTCAATAATACCTGCACCCCCTTCTCCTACTGAAAACCTTTTTTATCACATATTGGATAGTATAGTTCTCTTCTTTTTGTATGGGCTGGAAAAGTACCACATCTTGCCAAATCGACATTGCAACTTCCTTTGTCACCAGGGGGACTATCCCTTCCTAACTTGCAGCTGTATTATTGGGCAGCTGTACTGGTGATGGTCCGCCGGTCTCTCTGGAGGCAGCCCTCTTACGGTCTTATGGTACATTAAGTAATATGGTCCTTAGGAGCCCTAAATTTAACATGTCGGTCACCATCCCAATGAGGACTACTTTTGTGTTGTGGAATAATGCCAGGGCTAAATACTATTCTTCTGTGGCCTTTTCACCACATACACTCTTGTGGGGTAATACCACCCTATATCATCTATGTAATATCTGTTAGTGATAGCTGTGGGCGGCCCGAGTAGTAGTTTACCTAAAGCACATTATGTCAAAAAGGAGACTAATGGGATTTTTTGATTTCAAGACTAAAAATAACCTTCCGAATAGTATGTTTTTTAGGTATTTGCAGTTGAGACACGCTGTTCAGGTGCAATTTCCCAATCCTCTTACCTTACCTTCTCCCTCAGCAAACTGATACACTCTCACGGCTTCAACTATCACCTCTGTGTCGATGACACGCAAATTTACCTCTCCACCCCTCGCCTCACCCCTTCAGTCTCCGCCCGTATCACCCACCTACTGAACGACATATCAGACTGGATGTCGCTCCATTTCCTCAAATTGAACCTTTCCAAAACCGAGCTCCTGATTTTCCCACCAGCCCGTGCTCCACCCCACCCTCTCCATCACGACCAACAACGCCACCATCAGTCCCACCCCACAAGCCAAAGTCCTAGGTGTCACTCTAGACTCAAACCTGTCCTTCCAACCCCATGTCCAATCGTTGGCAAACTCATGCAGGCTCCACCTCCGCAACATCTCCAAAATACGTTCGTTCCTAACCCCAGACACTACTAAACAACTCATTCACTCCCTTATCTCAAGTCGGGACTACTGCAACTCCCTCCTCACCGGCCTACCTCATCGCAGACTATCCCCGCTTCAGTCTATCCTGAACTCAGCGGCCAGACTTATCCACCTTACCAACCGCTCTGCTTCTGCCACCCCCCTCTGTCATTCCCTCCACTGGCTCCCGATTGCCCAACGCATTAAATTCAAACTACTAACACAGACATACAAAGCCATTCATAAGGCTGCCCCAAACTACCTCACCGACCTGATAC